TGGCACAAAAATAGACATAGATATAGGGAACAGAATAGAAAACCAAAAGATGAAACCAGTCACTTACAGCCATCTGATCTTTGATAAACCAAACAAAAGCATTCACTGGGGAAAAGAATCCCTATTCAATAAATGGTGTTGGGAGAACTGGATAACTACATGTAAAAGATGGAAACAGCCCTGCCCCTTTCATCACTTACACAAATTAAGTTAAGAGGGATAAAAGATTGAAATCTAAGACATGAAACAATAAAAATTCTACAAGTTAGTGATGCAGTAACAAAAGAGGTGAAGGATCTCTACAAAGTTGAAATGACCATCAACTCAGAAATGGATTAACAAACGGTTAGTGATATCCTTGAGGATGTTGGCCTGGGGAAAGATTTTATGGAGAAGTCTCCTGTGGCAATTCCAACAATAACAAAAATAAACAAATGTCACTGAATTAAACTGAAAAGCTTCTGCATAGGTAAGGACACAACAATTAAAGCAAATATACAAACTTCTGAATGGGAAAAGATATTTGCATGTTATGAATCTGTGAAAGGCTTGATAACTAGGATCTATAAAGAAGTGAAATTAATCAACAACAAAAAGCAAACAATCCTGTCTATTACTGGGAACGCTTTTACACAGTGAGACTGCAAACTAACACAACTTCTTTGAAGAGAAGTATGGAGATCCCTCAAAGAACTCAAATTAGACTTCCCAGTTGGCCCTGTAATCCAACTACTAGGCATCTACGCAGAAGAAAATAAATTATTTTTTATGAAGACATTTGCACTAGATTGTATATTGTGGCTAAATGTACAAACACCAAGATATTGAAACAATCTAAGTGCCCATCAACTCAGAAATAGATTAACAAACTGTGGTATATATATACCATGGAATAATGTGGAGCCATAAAAAGATGGAGATTTTACATCTTTTGTTTTAACTGGGACGGAGTTGAAACACACTCTTCTCAGTAAAGTATCACAAGATTAGAAAAGCAAATATCCAATGTACTCAATACTAATATGAAGCCAGTAGACAATCTAATTCATACCCAAATAAGAGAAAAACTTGTTTCAATTCAAGCCGGGGGAGGGTAAATGTAGGCAGGAGAACAGAAGAGAAGGAGGCAATTGTGCTCCCACTTAATGGCACAAGGTAGGAGTATATAGCACAGCTTTTGTGTGTGGGATACAATTACAAGAATGACTTTACCTAACAAATTTAGATATTGCTACATTGTACCCTCTCATTAATGTGAAATTAAAAAAAAAAGAAAGAAAAAGGAATTTCTAGCAGTGTTATTGTGTAAATAAATATTTGGATCCCTTCTATGGTTTTTAAGAAAGCTAAGTTCTTTTGGTTGCTGAACTATATTTCCTTGTTTAGATTGAGCTTATGAATCTCAACCTCATAAGCATGTATTAATATCACCAATAATAATATTATCACTCATATGTAAGACATTTTCTGAAGTCTTAGGCAATGTGCTGGATTGTCTGTTTACTTAGTTGGCTATTTTTATTGAAAATACTCAAATCCTGGTGATATAGCATCATGGAGGCCTTAGCAAAGCACATCTAAGATCATGAAAAATAGAAAAAGCACAGCAAAATGCCATCATAGTCAATAGTTATACAATATTTCAATGCTATAAATTATTTTTGAATAGCATCTTTTATGTATGACTTTAGCCAATATTATGATTTTTGAAGTTTTACCGTTTTTTATTCACCATGCTAAGTATTCCATTATTTTACTAGTGATGGACATTTACATTTTTTTTTTAGTTTTTATATATGGTATTATGAATAGTGCTGCTACTGATATCCTTGTACATGTCTTTTGATGGTCATGTGTATATAACTCACATATGTAGTTTTGGAGTAGAGTTCTGAGTTTTATGGTATGCAAATACTTAGCTTTCATAAACATTTTGAGTTCTACAAAGGATAGGTAACAATTTACACTCCCATCAGCAGTTTGTAAGAGTTAAAATTGTTCTACATTTTTGAAAACAGTTGGCATTTCCTGTCTTTTTCAATTTATCTATTATGATGGGTATAGTATCATGTTATTTTAGTTTTTGTTTCCCTAATCACTATTAAAGATGAGCATTTTCATATATTTACTGTATATTCAATATCTCCTTTTATGAAATATATATTCAAGTTTTCTCACATTCTACTATGTTGTTGGTCCTTTTAAAATGAATTTTAGAGTTTTAAAATATATTCTTGATTGACTTCTTTGTCAAAAATATTCTCCCATTATGTTTATGCTCCTAATGGTATCATTTAAAGAATAGAAGTTCTTAGTAGAGATAGACTTATTCATTATTTTTTACTTTCTTCTTCTTCTTCTTCTCCTTCTCCTTCTCCTCCCCTTATCCCTTCCTCCTCCTCTTCCTTCTCCTCCGCCTTCTTCTTCTTTGCTTTCTTCTAAACCAACGGTTCTCAACCTGTGGGTTGTGACCCACAGGAACTGTATTAAAGGGTCACAGCATTAGGAAGGTTGAGAACCACTACTCTAAATGATGTATTATTTCCTACATTTAGATCTAGAGCCAATCTGGGGTTGATTTTTGTGTATTGAGTGAAGTAGGGATAAGATTAAATTTTTTCCTTTTAAGTATATAGTTGATCTCCTATTGGGTTTTTAAATTATACATCTTTATTTGCAATTACCTAATTGTTCTTATACCCTGATAAAGAAAATTGAGGCTTCACTTTAGTAATGTGAGGCTTTACTTAAGTAGCAAGTAACAAGTGACAAGATAACACAGCTTTCATTTAACAGAAGCATACCATGTTCGGGTTTAAGTTTTAGAAAGATAACATTGAACAAATTTTGGAGGATAGTTTGTGATACCAGCAATGCTGGTGAAACTGAAGGTAGGGGTTGATTCGCAGGTATTAAATTGAGACATAACAGGAAAAGAGTCCTGAGAAAGCTGGGCAATAGTTAATAGATCTAAGAGATATTTAGAAGGGCGGCAAGTTTTTAACATTTTGATAGTTTAAAGAATTTTAATGGTGCCATTTAACTGGTTAGAAATTGCAAGAGAAATCAACAACAGAATAAGACATGTGAGTAGTTAAAAATATGCTAGATGTTGAATTCTCAAATCATAATGACTAACAAGAGAGATATGGTGGTTATTCTTAAGATGCTTGCAAGTTTTATGGGACCAGATAAATATGCAATTGCAATAATGTGTGATAAGTACTATATGAAGGGAGGTATGGAATATTATCAGAGCACATAGGAGTTTTGCCTGACTCATGTTAAGGTTCAGGGATGGCATCTCCTGAAGATTCTGGAAGGATAATAGCAATCATACAAGAAAATTGGGAGCAGATGACAAATTTTTGAGGAAGAAGAAATAGCATATGCAGAGGGGCAGGGAGAGAAAGTGAGTGAGACAGAGGGAGGGAGATGTTATATTCTAAGCATTAAAAGAAGTTCAGTTTTGCTTGAACACAGAATAAAAGACAGTAGAGAGAGATGGAAGTTTGTGAAATATGGTGCTGAAGAATCAGATCTTGGGCGTCTTTGCTGGTCATTTTAAGCCTCTTGGAAATTATCCTAAGAGGAAGGAGGAACTCCTAAAGAAAGAATGTTTTTTTTTTTTTTTTAAATAATGGGAAAGTAGCAGGAAGTTGTGTATGTTAACATGGTGAGTAAAAGAAATGTGTTTTACTTATTGCATTTAGATGAGATACTACCATAAAATGCCTAGGAGGGAAACTGGGGATGTGGCCATACATATAGACTCACCAATTTATTGGTAAAACAAAGAGTGTCTGGGAAGTACTAGGAAATAATAATGAAACAAAAAGTGAATGAGAAGTACTAGGAAATAATATCAGAATTTAAGTGGTGCTCATTTGTGGAGGGACATTAATACCAGGTCAAAATGTTTGTATTTTACTTGGAAAGCCTAATTACATTTTTGAATTGTTAGTGATGATGAAGGCCATGTGTTAGGAATATTAACTTAGGAGAAGTAGCAGACCATATAAAATTAGGAAAAGGTGAGATACTGTCAAACCACTACCTGGGAGCTAGTGAGCGGCAGATGGAGGTGGTGTGAGGTAAGGTAAGGTGATGATTAGCCAGAGTTTGCATGGTTGTAAGCAATGGAAAACAATTCAAACTATTGTTTAACAGGACCTTTATTGGGTTACATAACTGAAAACTCCAAGCATGAATGTCTTTAGACCCAGCTTGATCCAGGAGTTAAAATGACATCAAGTAATCTTTTTCCTTCTTTTCTTCTTTGGTGATTTCATTGTCTGGCTGGCTTTCCCCATGATTCGGCAAAGATGTCCAGAAGAAGGATTACATCCCACCAGTTTAGAGACCCTCAAAGAAAGAGTAATTCTTTCTGGTACTTAGGTGACATTCCTACAATTAATTCTTATTGGCTTAGAACACATGGTATCCTGAATGAATCACTGTGGTTAGGGGAATGTTCATTTTTCATTGACTAGATTTATGTTTCATGCTTTCCATCAGTCTAGAGTGTGTGGTCTTCCCCAACCATCAAAATATGGACTAATAATGGGTGACAGGTGATTCTTTAAAATGAGAAGTTTCATTCTTTATCTAAAAGAGGGAGGCTGGGCAGAGAAAAATAATAGAAAAGACCTGAAAGACTCTGAGAAAGAAAACAAAGAAAATAAAAAACAAAGAGAGAAAAAATCAGGGGAATGGAAAGAAGAGAGGCAGAGGGGAAGAGGAGAGGGAGAAATATTTATTAACAGCAATTATTATGACTTCTGTGGGACCAAGAGGCAAAGCTCTATGTAACTGGAAAGCCTACTGAAAAGATATCATATAGAAAAGTTTTACACACAAACACTTTGTGTTGTAAAAATGAGTCTCACATTTGGCTTTACAAACACAAAGCTGTCCTTATAGTGGGTTCTACAACTTCATCTGTGGATATCAAAGCATATTTTTTCCTCAAATGTAAATATCACATACCTTAAAGGATTTCATATTTTCTGTAAGTGAAGATGTCTTCTGAGGACTTTCTTCACAGCCTCTTTGACTTCCTTATTCCTCAGGCTATAGATAATGGGGTTCAACATTGGGGTCACTACCCCATAAGATAGCCCAATGATCTCATCAGATGTCTTTGTGTCTTTTGACTTGGGCTTCATGTACATAAAAAGAGCTGAACCATAGAATAAAATCACCACAGCCAGGTGTGCTGAACATGTAGAAAAAGCTTTCTTTCTCCCCTCAGCAGAGTTAAGCCTCAGGATGGTAGAGAGAATGAAAACATAAGAAATAAAAATTGACAGTAGGGGAATCACTAAGAAAACAATACTTCCCACTGTTAAGATAAGCACATTGATGGTGATGTCTGAACAAATGAGTTTAAGAAGAGCCAACAACTCACAGGTAAGATGGTCAATGACATTATTCCCACAGAAAGGCAACAACATTGTCAGGACTGTTTGCACTAGAGAGTTTAGACAGCCTATGATCCAAGACCACACAGCCGTTTGAACATATAACACCCTATTCATGATGATTGGATACCTCAGTGGGTTGCAGATGGCCACATACCGATCATAGGCCATCACAGCAAGGAGGATGCACTCAGTACAGCCCAAGCCAAGGGAGACAACCATCTGCAGAGCACAGCCAAAGAAGGAGATTGTTTTTCTCTCTGACCTAAATATGTTGAGCATTGGAGGAATGAAAGAGGATGTATAGCATATATCCAAGAATGAGAGGTTTCCAAGGAAGAAGTACATGGGGGTGTGGAGGTGAGAATCCAGGATGCTGATGATAATGAGGAGGCTATTTCCCAGAAGGATTATTAGGTACATGGTGAGACAAAACATAAGCAGAGAAAGCTGGAGCTCTGGGTATCTGGAAAATCCCACCAGAAAGAATTCAGTCACAGCAGAATAATTCTGTGTCTCCATGTGTCTATGTCACCTGCAGGGTTCACGTAAAGAAATGACTCAGGCAAATTTAAATTTACAATTAGTCTTAAAAATAACTTTAACTTGCATTATTTTGTTTTATTTTTAGTACATGAAGTCAAGAAGGGCATGGATATGTTATAATTTTAATTGAGGACAAAACTGAAGGACAGCCATTCAATACTTTGTAGGACCATGCAGCAGTGGAGACAGCACTTTTAGTAAACTCAAGACTTATTATGCTGTGAAGTGTCAGGCCTCTAATAAAATAACAAGTAGGGACCACATAATTCCAAGCATGAATATGGAGCCATCTCATTATTAGCAAATATTATAAAATATTTAATAAGGTCTATTTTCTAAGGAAGCTATTTCTATTTAAAAATAATACATGCAGCACAATTAGTAGCATATCATTTCATTTGCATGTGACTTTGGATAAGTCACCAAACTTCCTAAGCCTGTTTGTTCCTGGTAAAACACTGGAAAGAAATATGTGTTATGTGGCAGCCATATGTTATATGTGGTGGCCATAAAGTATTTTACACCCTGTATTAAATTAGATAAAATTTTTAAGGTTCCTATCATAATACTTGGATAACGCCTTGTGTACCTTGTATATGTAATTATAATATGTTTTATAATAATATTTTATATCATTATTATTAAGTCTTTTGACCGACTAAGAAAGAAAAATTCACGTAGTATGTTTAAGGTGATGGTACTGAAGTTTGGGGTCTTAATAAACAAACTTTGAATATTTTCTCTTTTCACATGGCCATCTATCTGTTCTTTTTTCAGAATCAGTTAAGAGTTGATCTGTAAACATTTGAGATTGGTTCCTAGGAGCTTCGAGGGGCTAAAGAGTCTGGGTTCCCATTACGTATAGGTTTTTTTAAAAAAACAACCTAGAATTCCCTTTCCTTTAATATAGGTCACCTTCAATCATAACCATTATATATCTTTAAATTCTGTAAATCCTCTCTTCTTCTTTAGTCCCCAAACTTGTAGATGCATATTTTATGTTTTTTTTTTTTTTTTTTTTTTTTGAGACAGAGCCTCAAGCTGTCCCCCTGGACAGAGTGCCGTGGCATTACAGCTCACAGCAACCTCCAACTCCTGGGTTCAAGCGAGTCTCTTGCCTCCGCCTCCCAAGTAGCTGGGACCACAGGTGCCCGCCACAACGCCCGGCTATTTTTTTTTTTTTTTTGGTTGCAGCCATCATTGTTGTTTGGCGGGTCCAGGCTGGGGATTTGAACCCGCCACCTTAGGTGTACATGGCTGGCGCGTAGCCGGTTGAGCTATAGGCGCCGAGCCAATTTTCTGTTTTCTTAGACAAGTTAGTATTATTTTACTTAGAACTTAATTATAAGTATTATTTTTCTTTTTATCTTTATGGATAATATCTTGAAATGCATCTTTAGGATTTCAACATTAGTTTTATTTTATGGCCAGAAAACTTCTCATAATGAATTTATTAAATGTGCTTATGATAGTGATGGGCACAGTTTTCAGTGGTAAGTATTAGTATGGCTGGACTAGTGAGAGCTAACAAATATTTATTAAAAACTAACACTGTGCCAGGGACTGTTATAAGCACTTTACATGAACTGACTTTATATTCACTGCAACCTATGCAATAGGTACTATTATTATCCCAATTTTACAATGAAGCAAATAGGTAAAGGCAAGTAAAAGTAGCTTGCTCAAAGTCACATAGCTAGAACCAGGATTTAATTACAGGAAGTCTGGACCAAGAGTCAGCCTGCTTACAACAACGCAGTCATTCAGTGTATTGAAATTATCTTGCTTTACTTGCTTTTTCCAGCCTACACTGATCTTTATCTATTTTATAAGTTCCTGCTATATCCAGTGATACTACTGCATGAAAATTCAGCTGTGCTTTCATTATTTAATATTGTCTGATACTATGTATGATGCCTGCATGAGACTGAAGACTTTCTAATGCAAGGATTATGCCTTATACTTTTTTATATCAGTGATAGATTTAATTCATTAGATTAGGCCTGCAGAGATAAAGTTTCTCCCTGATCCTACCCTCAGCTCACAACCAACAATTTTCCATGCCTTCTTATTTCCCAAGAAAGTTAGAGAATGATTTTTTGGTTTTGAAAGAGATTTTAAAAAAAAAGAGAGAGAGAGATGATGGTACTAATATCTTACTATGTTGGAAAATATTTCCTTCCTGGATGTTTCTATTTATCTCTGTTCACACTGACACTTGTTTCTTTAAAAGTATGAGTTGAGATATTTATTTTAGCCCAGTTCTGAAATAGAAGGAGGAAGATGATAGGGAGGAAGGAGTCTCTTTTTATTGCTACAAAAGAGCACTATATTTAGAACTTAAATCTTGAGAGAATGAGAGGTTTTTTTTTGAGACAGAGTCTCACTTCATCACTATGGTTAGAGTGCTATAGCGTCATAGCTCACAGGAACCTCAGTCTCTTGGACTCAAGCAATCCTCTTGCCTCAGCTTCCTGAGTAGCTGGGACTACAGGCACCTGCAGAATGCCTGGCTATTTTTAGAGATGGAGTCATGCTTTTGCTCAGGCTGCTCTCCAACTCCTGAGCTCAGGCAATTCACCTGCTTCAGCCTTCCAGAGTGCTGGGATTACAGGCACTAGCCACTATGCTGGCTGAGAGAATGACTGTTAAGGAAAAAGGAATGAAAAAGGAGTGGCTTTTTCTCTCTGCTCAAAAAGTCCCAGATGAAGGAGGTTATTTTTCCAAAATTTAGAGAAAATTAGAGAAAGTAACCCTATTATCACTGAATTATTCTATCATAGAATTCTCAGATTAACCTCCCCATCTTCTTTCATCCCATTTCCACATTTTCTCACCTCATTTCTATGTCAATGGAGAAGTTATTGGAAGACATTTTGCTCCTTGATAATCTTCATCAGTCTTGACTAAAAAAGCTGGTGCATACAGATAACTCAAATTAATCAATGTGAAAAGAGCTAACAACACCTTATAGAAGTATTGTTATAGAAGTACCAGGCAAGAGAAATGAATAGAAAGAAGGTAGACAAATGGCTAACAAGCATCTGAAAAAATGCTCATTGTCCCTAATTATCAGAGAAATGCAAATCAAAACCACCCTGAGATAACATCTAACCCCAGTGAGAATGGCCCACATCACAAAATCTCAAAGTTGCTGATACTGGGGTGGATGTGGAGAAAAGGGAATACTTCTGCATTGCTGGTGGGACTGCAAACTAATACAACCTTTTTGGAAAGAAGTATGGGGAATCCTCAAAGAACTCAAACTAGACCTCCCATTTGATTCTGCAATCCCATTACTGTGCATCTATCCAGAAGAAAAAATATGCTATTTCTCATAAGGACATTTGCACTAGACTGTTTATCACAGCTTAATTTACAATTGCCAAAATGTGAAAACAGCCTAAGTGCCCACCAACACAGGAATGGATTAACAAGCTGTGGTATATGTATACCATGGAATATTACTCAGCCATTAAAAAAGATGGGGATTTTACATCTTTTGTATTAAACTGGATGGAAGTGGAACACATCATTCTTAGTAAAGCATCACAAGAATGTAGAAGCAAGAATCCTGTGTACTCAATTCTAATATGAAGACAATTGATGACCTAGTACACGGTGGGTGGGTGATGGAGGGAGGGAAGGGAATGGAGGGTCATGGGGTGTGACACACCTCTTGGGGATGGGTCAAAATTATATGAAGGACTTTACCAAACAAATACAGTCAGTGTAACCTGGTTCTTTGTACCCTCAATATACCAATAATAATCCCAACAATAAAAATAAATAAATAAATAAATAAAATACAATAAACGGCCAGGTGTGTGTGACTTATGCCTGTAATCCTAGCACTTTGGGAGGCTGAGGAAGGTGGATTTCTTAAGCTCAGGAGTACAAGACCAGACTCAGGAAGAATGAGTAAAAATAAATAAATAAACAAGTAAATAAGCCAGTCCAATAGAATAATACAATCTGAGGCAGAACAGTGTGCTTGCTACAAGAAAAGTTTTTCCAACCAGACTGCTATCCCTGAATGCCTCTAATATAGAAATTCTACTGACCCTTCCTCCCCATGCTGAACTCCATTAAGTTTACCCCCAAAACTACATTCTTTCTTCTTTTTACTTTTGTACACATTCTTATTTCAAACTAGAAGGGCCCCTCCACAGCCAGGTATTACCTTTTTCTAGAAAACTTTCCTGGATGTCCAGTTTGGATAGGATGTCCATTTCAAGTACTTTTGTACTATTGTGCTTACCTCTTTCATAGAATCTTTCATTTATTCATTTGCCCAACACATAGCATGGCAGATAACACAGTAGTTACTGGACATCCAATTGGGAGTTAAATCAGTGCTGATTCTCAAAATTGGCAATAGCTATAGATTATTTAAAAGAGAGTTATTTTATTTTTAAGAAACAATTTCTGTGCTATGGGAAGGTTTTAGTGTACAAAATGTTTGGTATACTTTGAAAATTACTTTACCAAAACAAAATAATGTTTATACCCTAAATTTTCAAAGATAGAATAAAACTTTGGTTTAATCTCATTATGCAATATATATGCAAAAATTACAATAAATATATTCACAAATATATTCACAAATTCAACTGTGTATTATAGTAACATTCCCAGTGAAAATCACCTCAAACTAATGTTTGGAAATCTATAAATGTAATATAGCAAACAAGTAAATAGATAAACAAGTCTATAAGGTTGTCTAACTGGAAATGAAGGCTTATTTGACATACGGCAAGGATACGGCATTTATTCTTGATAAAAAACCTTTTAGTTATCTACACATGAGGTAACTTGATTTTAAATAGTGAAACTCTGGAGATATTTCCCTAAAAGTCAGACAAAGATTGTTGATATTATCATCATCACAGTTGTCATCACTGAACCTTATTTTTAAAAAAAGATCCATCTGATAGACAGTTGTAATTAATTGTTTTCCCTCCAGGATGAGTATG